ACAGCCCCTCCGGTCCTGCCAATCACACTGTGAATTTCTGCAAAGCGGACACCATAGGCTCTACTTAGCTTATTCTTAGTGCTGAACATATAGCCTTGGCATAGTAGACAAGGACAGTGTGTTGACAAGAGGAGGCTCTGCAGTCAAGTCAGAGATGTTAAGTCTCAGGGTCACAGTGCAATTTCTCGTCAACCCCACATATCTGGTGGGTGGCAAGGACAGGGAATTTATGAAGTGCAGTCACCTGGAACCACATAGCTCCTCTCCACTCTGACACATAGGGTGGATGCTGTGGACCCCCGGGGGCGGGAACAGAGGGTGCACACTGCCAGTCCTCTGTATGACTTTGAAGTTTGGAAGTGCTTCTGTGTGGTATCCTGTTCCTGCTCCCTGCTCTAACTGTGGAAACCTACAGCTAACAGCCTCTGTGTTTCTGGCCTGCCTTGTGCCCTCGGTTACCTTCAGGGAGCCTCCTCTACTGGGCTTATGTCAGTCAGTTATAAAGGAAGTATAGGTATAGCAAGGCCACTGTGAGCTGTGACTCAGCTCTTGACTTAATTTCAGGTGGTGGACAAAAAGGCCACTCCACATGGTGATGTCCCTGTGTGTCCTTATGCACCACTGTGGTGGTGGAAAGGCAGCAGCAGTCATCCCACCATCATTTCTTGGTTTTAGTACAGGGAGTGATCTTGGTTGTAACAATGCACATTGCCTCCATAAAGCTATTTTTTTTCTCTCAGAGGACTCAGTACAACACTTTTTAGAATGAATAAAAATGCATCTTTGGGGATCACTGTGGGAGAGGGGTACAGAAAGATTCTAAGAGCCAGGGATGGTAGATGAATATAAGGAAACTTTTCTGGACACAACTGGGCAGTTGCACACACGAACTGACAGTGCTTTTGATAATATGCACAAGACCTGGTCGAGCTCAAGCCAAGCAAACACTCAGTATGGATGGAGGCGATGGACAGGACGAGCCCTTATTGTGGAACTTTTGGGAACTGATAGCTGCTGGGAGGAGAGGTAGTTTCTTTAAGGGTGTGATGCTGAATAGCTTGACCAGGTCCTGAGCACAGACCCACACCTAAGAACATTTTGGGAGCACAAATTAGCCTCAATAGACCTTAAAAAGAACAATAAAGGATGTGGAGTTGGGGCTGGTGGGGATGGAGATGGGGGAGGGAGTCTGAATATGATCAAAACACACTGTATAAAATTCTCAAAGAAACAATACAAATATTAAAAAAGAAAATGCAGCCTATGGGGGATATGCTGGGGAGATGGTGCAGTTGGTAAAGTGTTTGTCTTGATCCCAAGAATCCGCATTATAAAAGGTTGGCAGAGTGGGGCATGCCTATAATTCCAGTGCTGGGGAGGTGGAGACAGGGGAATTCCTGGGTCTGACAGCTGGCTTAGCTGAATTGGTGAGTTCCAGACCAGTGAGGACCTGTTTTCAAAAAACAAGGTGGGGGTCTGGAGAGATGGTTCAGTGGTTAAGAACACTGGCTGCTCTTGCAGAGGACCTGGGTTTGGTTCCTAGCACCCATATGTTGGCTCACAACCCACCATAACTCCAGTTCTGAGGGATCTGATGCCCTCCTCTGATCTCCATGGGCATTGCATGACACGGGTGCACTTATTTGCATGTAGGCAGTACATTCATACATATAAAACAAAAATAATAAATATTAAAAAATCCAAGGTGGAGACAGCCTGAGAGGGCGGGTTCTGACCTCCATCTGTATAGTGGCTGTGATCTCAGCAGACCACCAGGAGAATGCCTGTTCCAGCCTCCCTCTGGCATAGGGGCTGGGGCTGAGAACCAAGGGGACTGCCTGGGAGTGCCCGGATCCTGCCTCCGCATGGTGCTATCAAAATGCCTGAAAGTAAATCCTGAATCTATCACTCTCGAGTCCAACCTTGGCAGACAAAAGAAAAATGAGGAACCCAATAGAGGGATGCTTTTGGAAGCCCTCCTCAAGAAATTCCAATGGACTCTCATATGAACATTTGAAATTTGCCCTGTTCTGAGTTTTTTCTAGTTCCCTGTCTAGAACTCATAATGCTAATGACTCTTATCTTTACTTCTCCTTCACATCTCCTATTCACCAGTCAAGGACTTTCTTTTCCCCGTACAGATAAGAGTTATACAATTTTGGAGTCTTTTAGATAGACCCACTGTCCTAGTTTGTTTCTCCATTGCTGTGACAAAACATTCTGATCAATACCAACTTGGGAAGGAAAGGGTTTATTTAGCTTACATATCCCGGTCACAGTTCATCAGGGAGCCCAAGGTAGGAACTCAGGGCAGGAACCTGGAGACAGGAGCTAGAGCACAGGCCATGGAGGAATGCTGCTTACTGGCTTGCTCCCCTGGCCCCTGCTCAGCCTGCTTTCTTATGCAACACAGGCCCACCTGCCCAGGGGTGGCACCACCCACAGTGGGCTGGGTCCTCCCACATCACTCAACAATCAGGAAGGTGCCCCATGGACATGGCCACAGGCCAGTCCAATGGAGGAAATTCCCCAATTGAGGCTCCCTCAACCCAGGTGTGTCAAGTTGACACTAAAGCCATCCAGTACAATTGAGTCCTTGTCAACTTGACATACAAACACATCACTATTAAACCATAACCTTTCCAATTCTTATGCACAAGATATGATGTTAACATTAATATCACAACATAAGACAGTACAACCTTAAAAACCCCAGAGTTCTTTAAAAAATCCAAACATTTAGAAGTCCTCAGTCTGTTTTAACTGTGGGTAGGCTTCTGTAAAATTCAAAACAAGTACTGTCTTATTTCAAAGGGAAGAATCGGGCACACCTAAGCAAAACCAAAGTCCAGCAAAGTAGCTCAAGGCTGGAAATCTGGGATTCACTCACGATCTTCTGGGATCCAAAGGGTTCTGACAGCTCCACTGCTCTGACTCTGCAGTCCACAGCACACTCAGCTCATCTCGCAGACCCAGGCCAGCTCCATTCCACACCTACTGCTGTCCTTGGTGGTTGCCCCACGGTCCCAGCATCTCCAAAAAGCTGGGGTCTCCACTGAAACTGAGGCTATGCCATCACCAGTGGCCTCTTCTTGCCTCTTGGGGTTCAAAACCCCAGATTCTCTCCATGACCCCTTCAATCCTGAGGTCTTCATTGCAACTGAAGCTGCACTTTCACCTATGGCCTTTCCTGGCCTCTCAGAATGCCAAGCCTCAGCTGCTCTCTGTGAACCCTTTACACTTTCAACACCAGAACCATGCAGGAGACTCTTACACATTACCAAGTCCTGTTTCCAGCTTGAGATAGAGGCTCGGGTCCCCTCTGTGTGCTGACCCTGAGGAAATACCTTCTAGAAGGCTTCACCACAATGATGCTGGTCTCTTGTTACTTACAGCTGATTTTTCAGCCCCAGCTAACCAGTATCAATTGTCCCAGTAAAGCAAAGGTTTTGCTTCAGTTTCTGGTCTCTTCTTAATCACAGCTGATTCTTCAGGCCCAGCTGACCAGAACCCACAGATTCTCAATTCAAAACCTCACATAAACAGCCCTGATAGTCTCTGCTTCCCTTTGAAGCTTCACAAGCCAGGCCTCCATCGTCTACAACTCTCAACATAACTGTTCCAAGCTCCACAGCAACAAACTCTAAGCACACAATGGCTTTTCTAGCCCAAGCTCCAAACACTTCCACAGTCCTCCAATGTCAGGTCTGTCACAGCAGTGCCCCACTCTCTGGTACCAATTTCTGTCCTAGTTTGTTTCTCCATTGCTGTGACAAAACATTCTGATCAGTACCAACTTGGGAAGGAAAGGGTTTATTTAGCTTACATATCCTGGGTCACAGTTCATCAGGGAGCCCAAGGTAGAAACTCAGGGCAGGAACCTGGAGGCAGGAGCTGGAGCACAGGCCATGGAGGAATGCTGCTTACTGGCTTGCTCCCCTGGCCTCTGCTCAGCCTGCTTTCTTATGCAACACAGGCCCACCTGCCCAGGGGTGGCACCGCCCACAGTGGGCTGGGCCCTCCCACATCACTCAACAATCAAGACGGTGTCCCATGAACATGGCCACAGGCCAGTCCAATGAAAAAAATTCCTCAATTGAGGCTCCCTCAACCCAAGTGTGCCAAGTTGACACTGAAGCTATCCGGCACACTCACTGAAGGGGTACCCTGATTGCCTCACCCTGTGTCTCTGTTCAGCATGGAAAAAGACAGAGCAGTCTGTGTCCTGATTCCCTATCCACAATCTGGGTAACCCCTTCAGAGGATGGCGTGATAAGAACAGGAGGTAGGAAATGGCTAGGCAGTTAGTGTAAAACGTTCCGAAGAAAAGTAGCCAATTTATTGTCCTTGGGCCTCTTAGGAACATACTCAGTTCCCAAGGCCAAAAATGTCAAAAGTATTTGGGTGCTCTTACCTAATCCTTAAAAGATTTTACAGTTACCTCTTCAGAGGGGGGAATGTTAGAGTAGCAAAAAGCCCCCCAAAAAAGAAAAGAAGAAAGAGTACATGAAGTTATCAGAAAAAAGTGATGGGGCGATATGGGAGGAGTTGGAGGGGAGGGAGTGGGCATGGATTCGATCAACACACCTTATATGCTTATATACCTGTATGAAATTCTCAGTAAAGTATTTAAAAAAATCCCAGGTGGATGGTGCTTGAGAAATGACACCTGAGGTTGATCTCTGGCCTTCAATGCATACCTGCACACATGTGCATGCACACCTGCACACATGTACATGCACAATGAGGCCTATGGGCATCTTCATTTTCCCTAAGTTCATCTCCATGCAAAAACCAGCTCTACGCAATCTGCACTTTCTCTCAGCCTCTCGTACTCCTGTACCCCACCTGGGCCCCTTCCACATTCCTTGCTCTCTTCCAGGACCCAAAGCGTAAGAGTCAACTACAGATGGCAAAGTGCTGTCCCTCCTTCTGTAGGAAGACAGCTCCAACGCACGTGTGCAGGGTCTGTGTAGGGCGGCAGCACTGTGGTGACTCACCCAGAGGGTGGCATGTGCTCGGCGTCCTCCTGGGGGCGCTGTGCTCCTCTCACCCCTGGCCTTCATGTTGCAGCTGCGGGGCTGTAGCCACTCTGGGTCCTCCTCTGCCTGTGGCTCAGCTTTGTTCTTCTGCTTTCTTATGATCTATGCAAACAAGGATAAGTGACTGGAGAAGCTTGCAGAGGCTAGTGCAGTAGCTGGGATTATCTTTGGGATTTTTTTCTAGGCTTCTTTTTTTTTTTTCAAGAGCTTCATTTCAACAGAACACTAGTTTGTTTCAGATCTGCCCTGGGCACATACAGCCTTTGTCACCTACAGCTCATTACAGTTGACCAACGTGGACATCCTTTTTTTAATCTGTAGGCTCTGACAATCAATCTCCCTCACAGATACCCCAAACCACTGATGGGGTTGGGGTAAAGTGCTTTCTGTGTAAACATGGGAACCTGAATTCAATCCTAAGAATCTTTGTAAGAAAAAGCAAACAAACAGGTGTTGGGGTACACACTTGTAATCCTAGCACTGGGGAGGCACAGACAGGGGGATCTCTGGGGCTCACTGGTTAGCCTGCATAGCCTAATTTGTGAGACCCATGTCCCAGCCCTAGGTGGACGGAGTCTGAGGGATGACAACTGAGGTTGTCCCCTGGTCTCTGTACATGTGTGTGAGCACACACAGAGAAACACAGATACACAGACACACACCCACACACACCATTGGTATACAAGTCTCTAATATAAAACAGTACAGTGCTTAGAACCTGTAGATGTCTCCCAGTATATTTCAGATCATCTTTAGATCACATAGAGTACCTAATACAATATAAGTTCTACTTAAGGGGCTGGAGAGATGGCTCAGTGACTAAGAGCACTGGCTGCTCTTGCAGAAGACCTGGGTTTGATTCCTAGCACCCACATGGTGGCTAACAACCATCTGTAACTCTAGTTCCAAGGGATCCAACACCCTCTTCTGACCTCTGTAGGCACTGCACACAACACAGGTGCACTTACATGCAGTCATACATATAAAATAAAAATAATAAATAAAATATCAAAAAATAAGTGCTAAATGGTTGTTATACTTAATTGTTTGGGTGAAAAATAGAAACTAGTCTATACATGTTCAATAACGACACAGCTGTATCAGGCATAACTACGTGCCAGGTGCCAGGTAAATGGCAGTCAAACTGTGAGTGCAAGGAGGGACTAGGCAGAAAACTACAGCAGGGGTAGTTGCTCATGTAGACTCAGCTTGCTGCTTATAACAGCAGGTTTGACCTGTCCTTTTTGGAACCTTCTAGAATTTTTTTCTATGTGTTTTTGCCATGGTGGGTAGGCTCTGTAAAGGAGGAGCCTGTGGGTACAGAGGGCTAACTGACCTTTTCCTGCCATGCACAGCTTTTCTATGGAAGCACCTATTGCTCTGCATTAGACCCTGTGCTAGGTACTGCGTATGTTTTGTACCACTTGTTCCTTGGAATAATTTAAGAGATGCCCACTGCACTTCTCCCCGTTCCACAGATTAGGACATGAGCCCAGGGAGATTCAGGTGTTAGCTACAGTTGCCCAGCTCATTAGTGGTGCAGCTGGATCTCAAATGCTGTGCCTCTTGGCTTTCGGTCCTGATTTGACGAAGTGTCTGGAAGCCCTAAAACATGTCGGGTCCCCTTGTCAGGCAGAGATAGCTTTGGCTCCAGCTTCTTTGCACCATGCAGATTTAGTGGGCTCACTGATGCAGTGGGTGCTGGGCTCTTAACTTCTACAGATGGAACAGCCAAGAAAATGGCCAAGCCACCAAAATAGGTTATTCTTCACTGGGCTTCTATATATTTACTTACTTATTTGTGTGTGTGTACATGTTTGTGTGTACATACATGCATATATGCATGGGTGTGGATACCAGAGATCAATTGTGGGCATCTTCTTCAATCAAGCCCCACCTTTTTTTTTTTTTTTTTTGAGACAGCATCTCACACTGCATATTGCTAGTATGGCTGGCCTGGCTAGCCAGTGAGTCCTAGGAATCCACCTGCATCTTCCTGGGATTATAGCATCTATCTGGAGTCCCCATGCTTGGCTTTTTTATGTAGATTCTAGGGACTGAACTCAGGTTTCATGATGGCATAGCAAGTACTCTACTGACTGAATCATCTCCCCAGCCCCCAATGAGCCTCTAGACCACACAGCCTTGAGGAAAGAAGCAATAATGAATGAAAGTGGCTGCCCAGGGGTGGGTGTCAGTCCAATCAAGCCCCATCTGCAGGGTATCTGTATTTTCTCAGCTGGGCTTTGGAATTCTTGGGGACAGTGGCTGCCCATGCCTATCTTCCTCCACTCTGTCATTTTCCTCTCCAATCTTCTATGTCGGGTTCAAGAAGAGGATCAAGGCCAGGTGTGGTGGCACACGCCTTTGATCCCAGCACTCTGGAGGCAGAGGCAGGCAGATCTCTGTGAGTTCAAGCCCAGCCTGGTCTACATAGGGAGTTCCAGGCCAGCTAGTGCTATAGGGAGACCCTGTCTCAAAACTACCAAAGGGAAAAAAGAGAGGATCATTTGTTTGCTTAGTTCACAGGTCTCTAGCAGCAAAAGTGCTGAATCTGAACCTGACATCCTGTGAACTGTGATTAAGAGAACTCTGGGCTCGATGTCCTTGAGCTATGATTGGAGTCTTCGGATGCCAAGAGGTCCTTGTGAGCAAGGTATGTGAACAGGGCATGGGTCCCTGTGACTAAAAATGAAGGCTGACTTTTTTCAAGATTCCTTAACTATAGTCCTTTGTCAGGTGCCTCTGTGGGTCCCCTAGTTCATGGGAATACAACCTCCCTGAGTCCTGCTAAGGGACTTGCTTTGGCCAAGGACATGTGAAGGGGCAGGGACAGCAGCCAGAGTAGGCTCCATGGCTGACTTCCTCCATCTCCCTCAGCTGTGGTCATGGAACAGGTGACTCACTCATTCCCTGAGTGTTTTTTCCAGCTCCCCAGAGGCCCTGGCATGGCCTCAGTGGGGCTTCCCTGGCCAAACGGACCATCCTACCTTCTGCAGGATGGTGGTGGCCAGCTCTTCAGTCAGTTCCTCCTTGTGGTCCCGAAGGTAACTGGCCTCATTCTGTTTGTCCTGTGGAGGGAAGAGAATGGAGGAGGTGCAATTCTCACTGACTCACGAGCCCTGGCCATAGCACAGATGGAGGTCGCACATAGCCTTAATCAAGGCTACTATGACTTGGATACCCTGATCATCTACACTTGCTTCTGACGGCCAAGATTCCCCCACCCCCTTCGCCTCTCATCAGACAGAAGGAGGCCTTACCAGGCTGTCCCCATGTGACTCAGCTTTGGAAATGGCTTCTTCAATGGCCTCTTCAGCCACGCGTAGAGCCACAGCCAATGTATCCATCATGCTGTGTCCTAGGCAGGAATAGAACAGAGAGTGACAAGTCAAATGACTGACTGTCCCACAGGTGCTCTTTTGCATACAGCCCTTGAGGGTATTGGCAGAGGTACCCTGCGTATGTGGGAACAGTCTCTGCTCGCTATCCCATCTCTCCAAGGTCTTGATGTGCTTCCCAGGCTGGCTTTGAATTTACAACCTTCCTATGTCGGCCTCCCAAGTAGCTGCGATAACAGACACACATACCAGCAGACCCACTTATTGCCTCTGAAGTCCAAACCATGTCAGGTACAGGAATATGGGTCCAAAAGGGATGGGCGCTTGTGTCTCTTTCTCCCCAACTTCAACCCCCTGTTTCCATTTATAATCTAGTCATGTGTCATTGACACAAACCATTTTCCTACAAAGCTGCTGAAAGTTACTTGTGAAATGAGACAAGATGTAAATATATCAATCTGCTCATTAATTACTCATTCAATTAAAAAACATTCAAGCTTCTTCGATACCTAAAGAGACCAATATGTACAGAAAGTGGCATTTGTCAAATGCAATGAAATCTCTAAAACCAACCCAGTTATGGTCAAGGATGTACATATTATAGGCCAGATCTAACAGTCCTGACCGACCACATGGGGCAACCAGCCCAGGGTTCTGTATACTGAGGTCTGGTTGACTGATCATAGTTTCCTCTTCAGTTTCAGTAAATGGAACAAGTAAAATTGACATTGTCATATAAAGTACTCCCTGAAGATGGTGCTGTCAACACATCGAGTGCTCCCTGAACATGGCGCTATCTCCTGCCCAGCCTCTTCTTGATATTTGTCAATGTGTTGGATTTTTTTTAATTACCATGTTTTAAAATTTACTTACTTTGTGTGTATACGTATGAGTGGGTATAAGAGCATGTGTAATGTATGTGTGTGCCATGGCATGCATGTGAGGGCAGAGGGCAACTTGTGGGAGTTAGTTCTCTCTTTCTATGATGTGGGTTCCAGAGATCTAACTCAGATCATCAGGCTTTGAGTCCAGAACGTTTAGCCCCTGAGCCATCTTGTGAGCCCCAAAGAATTATTTTATTATTAGTGCTTATTGTGAAAAATAATAGGTTTGTTGTAACATTTTCCTATATGTATATAATGTGCTTTAATCATATGTCATCCACCAATGTATATTTCACAAAACAGGTCCACACATTCTTAGCAAGTATGACTAAGTACCTCAGCTGTACCAGGCTCTGGGCTGCTCTCCAGTGACGTCCTGATGGATGGGCTGAGTTAATCTACTCATGTGTTTCCCAGGCGACTAGGCAATCAGGCATGTGAGTGTTGGGGACAGTAACCAAGTCTCAGAAAGGCTTTAGATGCCAACTTATGATTCTTGGGTGTGAGTATTGGTATTGGTACAAAATGTAGAAGTTGGGTCTGGAGAGATGGTTCAGCAGTTAAGAGTACTTGCTGTGCTTGTGGAGAACCTGGGTTTGATTTCCAGCACCCATGTGGTGGCTGTCAACCATCTAATTTCAGTTCCAGGGGATCTGATGCACTCTTCTGGCCTCTGTAGACTTTGCATGCATGTGGTATACATACAGACATGCAGGCAAGTATTTGTACACATAAAATAAAAATATGTAAAAAATGTAGACGTTAGTAAGGTACAGGGATATTTTAACATGAGATTCACAAGTGAGTGGCTTGATTACTATTCTCCAGGTCTACAGCTCTCAATAGTTGATCATAAAGTATCTAGTGGCTGAATGGTGACTGCAGTTCTCCAGGCCATATATGGGTGATCCTCCTTTCTTGCTGATGGATTTGCCCAAAATGGAGGTAATAAGAGCCATGGAGACTCACACACAGCGATGAATGACTGCATGGCAGTATCCCACAGCCTTTCCAGCTTCTGGGCATCTGCCATTCACACAGCCTTACCTTCAGACTGCCTGTAGAATGTTGAGTCACTGCCTGAAACGCTGCCTTCATTCTCCAGGTTTGGCTCAAACACACCTCCTCCTGGAGGAGACACAAAGATTATGGTGATAAAAGGTCTCATGAGCACTGGTGCACTTGTGTCACCGAGCTGGGGGATCATCCATTTTGATGAAGCCAGCCTTGCAAACAGGTTGATGGAATCACTGAATGCCACAGTACATTCATTCATTCATTCATTCTCTCTCTCTCTCTCTCTCTCTCTCTCTCTCTCTCGATCTAGCGTAGAATGAAGATTTATCTTGTCAACTTGACTAGATTTATAATCACCATGGAAACATAACTCTGGGTGTGTCTATGAGGATGTTTCCAAAACAGACTAAATGAGGAGGGAAGATCCACCCTGAATGTGGGTAGCACCCCACCCCGTCATGGGCTGGGTTTCCAGGCTGCACCAAAAGGAGAAAACTAGCTGAGTACCAGCATTCCTCTCTCTCTGCTTCTTGACTGTGAACACAATGTGACAGATTGCCTCACACTGCTGATGCCAGGCCTCCCCCAACATGATGGACTGCACCCTCAAACTGTGAGCCAGGATAAACTCTTCCTTCCTTAAGCTGATTCTTGTCAGGTATTTGGTCACAGGAACAAGAGAAGTAACTAATGTACCAAGTTGCCTTTTGATTGCCTGTGAAGGTGTAAGGCTAGCTTGGGAGGGCTAAGGGACTGGTGGCCAAAAAAGTATATAAGAGGTAGGAAGCCTGCGTGATTCCATGGACCACATGACTTTTCAATGGAGTAGGCATTTTACGGCAAAGTACACTTGTCTACACAGCAAAGACATTTCATAGATAGAACGAGTTCATTTTTAAAGATCTATCTCATTTTAAATTGTGCTGTGTGTGTGTGTGTGTGTGTGTGTGTGTGTGTGTGTGTGTGAGTGCAGTGCCTGTGGAGGCCAGAAGAGGCCAGATCCCCCTGGAGCTGGAGTTACAGGTGGTGGTGAGCCACCCAAGGTGGGTGCTAGGAACAGAGCTCTGTCAAAGCAATATGTGCTTTTAACTGCTGAGCCATCTCTCCAGCCCTCAGAGTTTTACCCTAAGGGTTCTGGAACATGACACATGCCTCAGGCACTGCAGACTACATATTCTGACAAATCAAAATCTGAAAATAGATACTGTGGCTAGAGTTGAAGAGGGAGCCATTTATTCAGAAGATGGCTGAACTGATTACTGTGATGTTCTAGCTGATGTTTTCTGCATTTGCTGTGCCTTAAAATAACTTAGGACGCTTTAAAATGCATGTGCACTGAGTGCTACCTCCAGAGATTTGGAGCTCATTGCCTGGGGCTGGGAGATGATCTTGGGATGGGAATTTTTCCCCAAAGCTCCCAAGGTGATTCTGATGTGTATTTACAATGGAAGATGGCATCCCTAAAAGTGTGTGGGTGACAGAATCAGCTAATGGTAATGACATGACCCTCCAGTCTCTCACCTGAGGGGTGATTTCAGCACTGGAAGACTTCTCTGCACTTGAGGAGTAACTGAGTTTTCTACAGAGCTTGTAGAATACATCTCATTACTTTAAGATTGTGGCTTTACAGGACTCATAAATGGCCTACTGTGTATTTGTGTCCATGTTTAAGAAAAGGAAATCTTAGTTTAAGTGGAGTTGCTGTTAGCCACACAAGGTAGGAACCTAGTGGCAGATTCCTATATCAGCCCACCTTCAAAGTGTCCTTTCCTTTAGTTTTATTTATATTTATATTATAGTTCGAGCTGAGCATGCTCAGAAGCATTCCTGTTATTAGTTTAATCTTTTAAACATGTGGTCCATGACCTTAAACTGAGCATGCTCAGGAGTGTACTCTTTAACTGAGCATGCTCAGGAGTGTACTCTTTAACTGAGCATGCTCAGTGATGTACTCCAGAATGGAGCATGCTCAGGAATGGGCCAAATCCATTGAATACGTATAAGAGCCCCAGCTTCCTGTGTTTGAGGAGGGCACTGCTTTGGAAATACTCTTGCGTTTGGGCATGCTGCAGGTCATCTTTTCCCATCCTTTTATGTCTTGGCTGTGCTTATTTTGGATACTGAGACATGAGCCTGTTGCATCTGTTTATATTATTAATCATTTTTGTTTTTGAGGCAGGATTTTGTGTATCCCTGACTGGCTCCAACTCCCCATGAAGCTGAGAATGAACTCAAACTTCTGATCCTCCTGCCTCCATCCTCCATGAGCTGGAATTATAGATGTTTGTCACCATGCCTGATTTATGCAGTTCTGGGGGGCTAACCCAGGACTTTGCATATACTGAGTGCATTCTACTGACAACTACAACCTGAGGTCCTGTATTACCAATCACCTTAAAAATGGACTCTAATATTTCTATGAAGCATATTGGTACACCTATAATGCATTTAAGATGGAACCAATGCACTGTTCAGGACACAGGTGTAACAGGCCCTCAGGTGTGCTATGAGAACACAGAAGCAAAGAGGCCACCCCTCCACATCACAGTCTGCAGAGATCCAGTGTGTAAACCATCTCTGGATGCCATGACCCAGGCCCAGATAGAGGAGTGCTGGATCACAGAGGGCCTGCCACCCAAGCCTACACCATCCCATCAGATGCTTACTCCCAGCAAGGGACTCACCTTTCAAAATGACACCTGAATATCTCAAAGCCCTGAATGAACCCACTGGGAATGGGTGTCTGTCTCCTGCACCCATGGGGCTTTAGAGAGAAAGGGGAAGACCAGAGCTATGCTGTGTTCTATAGGATGATTCACACATGCTCGCCCATTCTAATTTCATTTCTGTTGCTGTGATAGACCACATTGATCAAAAGTAACTTAGGGGAGAAAGAAGTTTCAGCTTACAATGCCAGATTACAGTCTATCATTGTGGGGAAGTTGAGGCAGGAACTTCAAAGAGCTGGTCACATCGTATCCAGTCAAGAGCAGAGAGAAACCAATGTGCATGCATGCTAAGTGCTCAGCTACATTTCTCCATTCTTAGGCGGTTCAGGACTGCCTAACTATGAAATGGTGCTGCCTGCACTGGGCTGGATGGTCCCATATCAAGACAGTCCCTCACAGACATGCCCACAGACCAACCCAATGTAGACAGTCCCACACTGAGCCTCCCTTCCTAGGTGATTCAAAGTAGTGCCAAGCTGACAATCAAAGCTATTTTATTTTTTTATTTTACATTAAGCAACTGAGCACATTTATGCAACTGGAGAGGAAAAAAAAGATGAGCTACAAATGAGAGTCAAACCTCCAAAAAGGTCTGGACCCTGGGATTAGAAAGACGGCTCAAGGGTTAAGAGCACTGACTGCTCTGCCAGAGGACCTGGGTTTGATTTCCAGCACCCGCATGGTGGCTAACAATCATCCTTAATTCCAGTTCCAGCAGATCTGACACCTTCTTCTGGCCTCCATGGGCACTGCACATACAAGTACACTTGTACACATGTAGGCAAAACACTCACACACATAAAATAAAAATAAATACATTTTAAAAGAAGGTCTGGACCCTTCTTGAGATTATATTTGGGTGAAAAACTACTGTTCGCAGCATCAGCTTTAAGTTTTTTGTTTTTTTAAACCTTTATATTCTAGAGAAAAACTTTTAGAAAAACCAATAAAAGGAAGATAAAAATACTATGTGGAAACTCTAGGTGTTGCTCTCCCAGTTATTTCTTCTGAATAGCTTGAAGGACAGAGTCTGACGGTGACCACAGGGAGCCCTGTATGTTTCCCTTATGGTGTCCCCCCAGTCACCTAAGGGACTGGCATATTTTTAGATAAGACATAACCAAAGACTTTATTGAGAATACAACAATGTAAAATAACGACGGCAGAAGCACCACAAATGAGATGGGTGAGATTTGTTTTCTTTCCCTGTTTCTTGTGACTAAAGAGCATTTACCTGTGTCAGCAGTGATTTCAAACACCTGCCTCTAGAACAGAAAAGCACAGTCCTTTTGGGGAACCCACGCTGTTCGCATTCTGACAGCTGCCTCGTCCTCAGGCTGATTTAAGAGGACTAAAGACTATAATTTCCCATTTTCATTAACTTACTTGTCTTAACTGTACAGAAATAACAAAGGTAAAGTTTGTCCTTCAGTCATCTGAGGAGGGTGCTAACACTTGTAACTTTTCTGTGACATCAGAGTCTGAGCCTGTAGGAAGGGGAAGTGCATATTCTCAATACAGGCCTGGTCTCTCATATCTGGAAGGACTTTGCAGTGTTTTGCTTATCGGAGAATGATAGTTAAGGATAGTTAATGATAGTTTGCTTAAATGGAAATGACTTTGCAGTGTTTTGCTTATCAGGGAATGATAGTTAAGGATTTCTTCCAGGAGCCTGGGGAGACAGCTCAGTGGTAAGATCACTTGCTGCACAAGCATGAACACCTGAGTTCAAATGACCAACACCTGTGACCCCAGTACTATACAGGGTGGAGACAGAAGGCTCTCTGGGGCTTGCTGGCTACCAGACTAGTTCTAGGTTCAGTGAGAGGCCCTGTCACAATGGAATAAGGCAGAGTGATAGAGCAGGGCAGCCAACATTCTCTTTCACACATGTGCACAGGTATGTGTACCTGCACACACATACACACATACACACCCACTCTAGCCTCCAAGAATCATTTCTAGGGATTGAGAATTAAACTACCCACAATTTGAAGAAACAGTTTGGTCTTCTGAGACCCTAGCATGTCATGTCCAGTCTAGCAGGAATGTTCAAAACCAGAGTTGAGGCTGGAGAGCAGGCTTAGTTGATGAAGTGCTTGCTGATCAAGCATGAGGACCCCAGAACCCACATACAAAACTGAACATGGTGGCACATGCTTGTAATCCCAGAACTGTGGCAGACAGAGACAGGAGGAAGCCTGTGGCTCAGTGTTCAGCTAGCCCAGGCTAGCTTACTTGGTGAGTTCTAGGCTAGAGAGAAACTTTGTCTCAAAAAATAAGGTGGGCAGCTCCTGACCGTTTGACCTCTGGCCTCTACATGCACATGCACACACATGTTCATACACCCATAAACACACACACACATACATACATACATACATACATACATACATACCCAAAAACAAAATCTGAAGTTAAAACTTAGTCTCTCCTACCTACCCTCTTTGCACCAGCAGAGGGAGTGCACCCCAGAGGCCTATGAGCCAGACCTTCTTCCCCCATCCCAGCTAACATAGCCTCCCAGAGCAGCAGGAAGCAGGGTACCTAGGATGTCAAAGCCGGCGCCACTCTCCAGACGGTGTTTCCGATACAGGTTTTTGAGGACCTTTGCACTGCCAAAACGCTTGAAGCGGCTCTTCACATTGTTGTAGAACCACTCCAGAGACTGAGTCCTGAGAAGCCTGGGGAGACAGTTAGACAAAGGGAGATGAGAGCTGCTCAGTGGTGAACCGCAGAACTGCTACACTGCTCCAGACCTCTGAGGAGGTGGAGTTCATGGCTCAGTCCCCTGAATCTGGGCTGGCTTGGCCACTTGCTCCTACAGTAGAGAACAGAGGAACAAGGCTGTGTGTAGTGATTTCTTCTGAAATAAAACCTTTCATCTTGGGAAAATACTTGTTAAGACACCACAGGATGTTCTAAAGGGAAATGAACATTCCATCCTGTAGGGAAGGACCATAAGATGTAGAATGTCGACAGAGGTAAACAACAGGATATTCTAGAGGTGAAGCATTCCATCCTGTAGGGAAGCACCTTAAACTCAGAATTAAACAACTCAAAGGCTTCAGGAAGTTTCTAAAACTCACCAGATACACTAGGCCCCTCCCTCCCCAAGCATATACAAGCCCCAAGGCCTATTGAGGGATACTTTCAGAGAAGCTGAGGCGTCCAGAAGAGGCTCAGACCAGTTGAGCTGCCTGGAAAAAGTTTAGACCAACTGACCCATCCCCGGAAGAGACATTTTTGACCTGTTGAGCGGCCTGCAAGTTGTGCAGTAAGCTCTAGGTTTCCTGCTTTCGTGATTTGTCACCCATTTGAGTCATTTCTGTTCCTATAAGTAATCCCTCACCCATACTCCTGCAAGAAGCCCCAATATAACACATTGACCCACTAAGTTGGTCTCTGGTGGTATCCTTACTTTGGTCTGTCATTGGTTCTCTATCTTGGATGAATAGGTGTTTGTTCATGTCTCCCCAGGAATAGTGTCACACAACACTGGCTGTGTCCTGAGCCTGCGGGCTCCTCTCCTGCTGCTGTTGGGAATCCTGCTCCCCATCACCATGTGTATGAGCCCAGGCTGGTCTGCTCTGGAATGGAGACCCTTGGCCAGCCAACTCCCAGACAGGGGAGTGCATCCATCAGTTGCCAGCTGGTCAGAGATGCACAAGGGATCCTAAGTGAGACCAGCAGACCTAGCTGAGTTCATCCAGTGAGCCAACAATGCTTGCAATTCTAAACCACTAAGTTTTGGGTCTATTAATGCACAAAAACTGGCTTCCTAAAACATCCGTTTAACAGTAGGCTTTACATTTGAAACTAATAGTGCATTATCAACATTTTAAATCCAGCTTGGGAAAGTAAAATGCACCAACAAGACAGCAAAATGCTTCAAGCTCTTTCTCAAGTCGGTGTGAAGCACTGTGGGAAAGCTGGTTCCTGGTGAGCAAAGCAGCGCTTGGTGTGACACAGCAACGAGAACCTTCTTTACGTCTCATAAGAACGTATTTCTAAAGCTCTTCTGTTTTAAGAACAGCTTTTGTTATTTTTCTTATGAGTGCAACATTACATACTCATTTTGGAAAGTTCAGAAAAAGAAAATGAATGCAGAGATTAAAAAAATAAAGACTTAAGAGGACCCTCTAAATCATATGAACCATAAATGACTCAGGGAGATGGGACCCTTAGTGGAGCTACCTGAAAATTTTGCCTTGAGCTCCGGGAGGTTCATTACTTTTGTGAGCTGTCAACCTTGCTGGGGTGGGCTTCTTAGTGCCACAGCTGCCCAAGTGACCTATAAATGAATGCAGAGATTAAAAAAATAAAGACTTAAGAGGACCCTCTAAATCATATGAACCATAAATGACTCAGGGAGATGGGACCCTTAGTGGAGCTACCTGAAAATTTTGCCTTGAGCTCCGGGAGGTTCATTACTTTTGTGAGCTCTCAACCTTGCTGGGGTGGGCTTCTTAGTGCCACAGCTGCCCAAATGACCTACACTCTATGCGTAACTCCTCGCCCACATTCCTATAAATAATCCCAGTAAGCTCACTGGTTGTCTAACTAGACTTGGGAAGTACTCATTTCTTTGGTTTGTCATCAGTGTCCTTTCTGGCGTGAACAGATATTTGCATACATCTCCCCAGGTGAAGTCAACCAATGGGGTGAGAACAGAATTGGAGATTTTGACAAATTTATGGAGAACTGAAAGTGAATTGTAGCAAAAAGGTTAACAGCAAGCTTGTCCTTCGAACCTTTAAGAACAGCCAGGACTCCGACTGGAAAGTCTGATTCTGAGTTGGTTAAGTGAGAGAGCTGGCTTAGACGATATGTTATTCAGAAATTCATTTAAAGGTTGTGTAGACACAGGAGGCCTCTGAGCCCCCGCACCTGCATTCCTGCTCCCAAACAAACGGGGAACTGATCCAAGAATAATTTGTTTTAGCCTCCCCCCACAAAAAAGAAAAGAGAACAAGTTTCTATTGAATTTAAACCATCTACTGGAGAAGGGTTCATTAACAGCACATCATTAATAGCACTGGAGGAATACTACATGTCTGACCATCAGATCTCATCCATGTCCCCCAAAATAAAGTCTACCAGTTGCCTGCCTAGGCTGAACACTTGAGAACAGAGTTAGCCCTTCATTTCTCTTTCAGATCACTGGGCTTGTTACTCAGTGGCACAGGAGGCCCATCCTTGTTGTCATTCTTAATTAACTAAATCCTTGTTAAGAAACATGAATGAAGAATGAGGATTACTAGGCATTTGACACAATCCAGTGGCCTAAGAAGGAAGGGCCATGATCAAATAGCAATAATAAAACAGAGCAAGTAAAGATAATTTGGTGTATTGAAGACAACAATTTCTAATTAACATCAATCCATTCTGAGTAATTCTAGCTAGCATCAATAGCGATTCAAAATACTACTAAATTGGGCTGGGCATGGTGGTGCATGCTTTTAATCCCACCATTTCCAGAGACAGAGGCAGGTGGATCTCAGTGAGTTCTAGGCCAGCCTGGTTTATACAGAGAGCTTAGCTAGGGTTTCATAATGAGACCCTGTCTCAAAAAAATTACTAAAACCTGGGCTGGAGAGATGGCTCAGTGGTTAAGAGCACTGGCTGCTCCAGGAGAGGACCTGGGTTTGATTCCCAGCACCCACATGGCAGCTAACAACCATCCATAATTCCAGTTCCACGGGATCTGACACCCTCTTCTGACTTCCATGGGCATTGCAACATGGTTGCACTTACACACATGCAGGCAATATACTTATACACATCAAATAAAAAATTACTAAATTCACGTAACACGGTAAGGTAATATGAAATATGTCCATTGGAGGACAACCAACAAATTCCTTGAAATAGACAATTAGGTTTGATTTAAAAAAAAAAAACACAGTATATAATTTCCAGAACATAGAATGAGAAATTAACCAAAAAGTGCTATATAAGAGAAAAGAGACATGAGGACCAATTGAAGGGCTTCAACATTTAATACAATTCCACAAATGGAAAAGGAAGAACATCTGCCTGTATCCCAGGCCGAGAAAACGACAGTCAGGGCACCAGGGAGCATTGAGAGTCATGGGTGGGAGAATCCGTGCAGCATGCTCACCCTCAACACAATGAAAGCAACTGCTGTCTTCACCAACCTCAGAAGTGATTTAGAGAAAACGCATGCAGTGGGAGCACAGGGGTGGGGGAGGTGGCACATGTCTTATCTCAGAGAGGCTGAGGGAGTAGGTGGCCAGAGGGTGGGGGGTTAGGCATGCAGGTAGCTGAGCAGCCTGAGGTAGCCTGCTTTCCACCTCTCAGCAGAAGGAGCCCTTCAAGGCTGAGAAACCTCCCCTCAGGTCCCAGGAGGCCCTCACTTCTGTTAGATCTATACGTTACAAGGTTATCACAGGAGCCCCATCCCCTGCACTCCAGGAATCCTATTGGGAAATTTCCTTAGAGAAGTACCCCTGTGTAACCCTGGGGATGTTCGCTGAAGCACCGTGTGGGACAGAGACAGATGGAAACAACCTTGGCTCATTCAGTTGTTCTGTGTTCATTCTCCTCTGCATGCCTTCCTTCATTCCCTCATTCACTCAGCAAATGTATACTGAATGCCCACCACGAGCCAGGCACCTACACAGCACTGAGGAGACAGCCGAGGGCCGTGCTCCTGGGTTTCACGATGTCCATAGGCCAGTGCAAGAGGTAGGGTGTGGATAGAAAATACTTAGCTATATTCTACATAAGGTGGGGGAATTTCCCTGATTTCAGGTTGCAGGGTGAGGGGAAAAGACTGGGTGGAAAGGAGAGCTCTTCATGCTGGGTGGTCTGCTAAGGCATCTTTCAGAGACAAAGCAGAGAGAGAGTGAGCCTTGTGGAAACTGGGAAAAGAACATTCCAGATGGAGAAAGAGGAAGTGCAGATGGAGGAGGGGCAGTGAGGAAGGGAACGAATGAGAGCAAGGTATAGTGACATGAATGTATGAGGATGCCATGAGGAAACCCAGTACATTATCTGCTAACCTTTAGTTATAAATAATTTGTAAAATTGAATAACATTCATAGGAACAATACATTAAATTTTGGGAAGAAAAGGAAATGGGGTCAGAAAGGAACTCAAAACAGAGCTCCCTCTATACCAATAATGTAATTAAAATTTATTTTATAAAGTTCATTAGAACTGTCATATCTGGCTACTAGGTCCCTTGTGCCTTTATTTTTACCTTAAAAAATCTGGCTATTTCTGTGTGTGTGTGTGTGTGTGTGTGTGTGTGTGTGTGTGTGTGTGAGAGAGAGAGAGAGAGACAGACAGACAGACAGACAGACAGACAGACAGACAGACACACTGCACTCATGTGGAAGTCAGAGGACAACTTGCGGAAGTCAGTTCTTTTCTTCCACCATGTGGGTCCCCAGGATTAAATTCAGGCAGTTGGTCATGACAATAAGTGCTTTTACCTGCCAAGCCATCTTTCTAGACCCTGTGGTACCTTTACAGCACATTAGAACTGTGAGAGCATCTGAAACATTCTACAACAGCAAAACAAGCCCCAACAGAATGCATGCCCTCCCACGTTCTTTCCTCATTCATCTCAGAGAAGCCTCATCCAACTCCCTCACCTCTTCTGCAAGCATCAGTCTTTGTTGGAGTGTTGTACAACACTGTTCTAGTTAATTAT